TGACTCATTGATTTGAGTAAGATGCCTGAGTTCAAGAAATATCAAGTATGTACCTTGGAGCTCACAGAATATGGATTCTGATAAACATGTAGCACTTACTCTCTCTAATATTTCTATGTCATACATTATTAATTGAAATAGTGAAAATATTTTTTTCTACTAAGCAAATTTTTCTTGTACTACATGCATGTTATGTATTACATGTATATTGAAGCATAAAAGTGTAACCTCCCCTTCCAGAATTTTTTATTTTCTTCCTCAACTGAATGGTTACCTTTGGAATTAGATGAACATTCTCTCTCCTTTTTCTGACTTCCTAGATATTACTGTAAGCTAGAAGAAATAGTTGGTTTAAGGATGCTTTTGTGACCAGGATACTGTATAACTACAACAATATTTATCCTTTTTCTGGCTGCATCATATCCACAGTGTAAGACATTACAGTAGTATAAAACAAAATGAAAAAAAATCTTTAAGAAACTATGTTGAAAAATCTAGTTTCTTTGACATAGGCTAGGAAGCCATTTTTAATGCTGTTATTGCCATATGAAAAGAATGCAACTAACTTAGATTAAAAAAAGATTAAAAAACAAATTTGAAAAATTGTGAAACTGTAAACTGTGCTATGAAGAATAAGCTTTTATAGTTAACATTAAAATGAAACATTTACTTTTATTGCAGTTTTTCAAACTGAAATCAGTGTGTCTGCCTGATTTCTGCTTGAATATAGAAAGAGTTGTAAGCATGGATTTATTCAAACAGTGAGTTTGAACTCTCCTGGAAGTTGTGACAGTAGAAAGATTTCATGGCCTACAGAAACAGTCTTGTTACAGTACTCTTGGCTTACTAGGGTATTTTAATAAGGACAGGGACACATGTCCCTGATTGGAATACAAATGGGATTGGAATAGAACTACTTGTCTCCTAGGTTTCTTAGGTTTTAGCTTGACCAAGTTCCTGGAGCCATACCACTGCTGTCCACAGTGTTCAGATCATTCTGCTCTGTTTTTCTCATCATTCTGCTATGTTCCTTCCTGATAGGTTTTGTATGTAGTAGAGGGACATTTGCAGCAAAGAATACTGCCAAAAGAGAAATCCCTCTGGATGTCCTGTAGTTAGAAGCCATTTCTGGGCATCGTGTGTGTGTGTGTGTGTGTGTGTGTGTGTGAGAGAGAGAGAGAGAGAGAGAGAGAGAGAGAGAGAGACTTTTTTCCTCAGTATCTAAATCTTGAACGTGTATTTTACTTGTAAGGTAAGGAAGTTTCTTGAACATGTATTTTACTTGTAAGGTAAGGAAGTTGTAAGATATAGTTGTTTAAAAAAGCAAAACACCTGATCATGAGAAAAATTGAAGTAGACAAGCATGATTTTATACTAGATGAGCATGCTCAGACATTTAGATCAAAGTATATGGAGTGAAGTACAATGGATTTTGTTCTTGTAGTTCCATTTATTGTGTTGATAATCCCTTAGACTTTACCTTTACGAAAATACTTGGATTTTTACCCTGTAATAGCTAACAGATGGTAAAAATTAAGGGTGGAATTCTGTTTCCTTTTGTGTGCCTAACATGCAGTTCTCTAGCTGCCTAAATGGTATTTTTGCATTTACATTTAGGTAGTGTTCCTGTTATTTCTGCTGTGTGGACACATAAGCACGTGCATGTATACTGATTGTGCACAGTAGGCTATGGGTTAGCTGGCTAATACATGGCTGTGTATGCTCACCTATGCTTTGTGGATGTGTAAGCATGTCACGTCAAGAAAGGCAGAATAGATTTTCATCTTATTCACTAACTAACTCAGAGATGCATAAGCTTCTGTAAGCAGCAGCTTACTTTATCACATACTGTGAAGGGACTGCAGAAAGCAGAGTTTCCAAATAGAAAGCAATAATTAGAATACAAAGGGTAGGGAAGGGCGGGGGAAAAACAAATGGGTACTGCTTAAGAGGCATAGTGGGTAAGAGAGAGAAAAAAAAAGCAGTTAACCCACTGAGTTTGTCAGGCCAGGCCTCTCTTGGTCTGCTATGTGTTACAATGTAAACCAGTACAGCTTGTTCCATGGTCAAGTTGTCAGTGACTAAACTGGCGCCTCCATCTGGGCTACCCTGGGTGAGGAGGGTGTGTAGATACCCAGCAAAACTAAAAACAAGACCTGTCAAAGGGTGGATGAGCTCCCTACAAACTAACAGCCATCCATACCTGGAGAGGAGATGGGCACTAAGGCTGTGCGAAGCTTTGGTACCTGATTTGATTCAGAGGAAATTTGGCAGCCAAATCTCTGAGTCTGAATCAAATTGGGAGACCCATTAATCTCTCCAAATTGATTTGGAGAGATACGGAGACTTGGCCATAGACCGTACAGGTAGGCACTAGGCAGTGCCGGCGGGAGCAGCCAGACGAGCCCCGGCTTGAGCCGACAGCCCTGGGGTAAGCTGCGGCTCATCTGGCTGCCCCCCTGCTGGGGTGAGACAGGCAGCGCTGGCAGCCCCAAGAGAAGCTGCGGGGGGCTGGAGGGAATGATTGAGAGCTGGGGGGAATTATTGGGGAGCTGGGAAAAGATTGGGAGCTAAGGGATTAAACTGGGGAATTGAACTGAGAGCCAGGGTGAATGATTGGGAGCTGGGGGAACAAACAGGGGCTTACCCCCAGCTCCTGGTTCCATTCCCCAGTTCCCGGTTTGATCCCCCAGTTCCCAATCATTTCCCCCAGCCCCCATGGCTTCTTGGGCTGCCTGCTCAAGCCGCAGCTCATCTGGCTGCTCCACCCCGCCGAGGCGAGGCAGGCAGTGCTGGCAGCCCCGGGAGAAGCTGCAGGAGCTTGGGAGAATGATCAGGGAGCTGGGGAATGATTGGCAGCTGGGGGGAATGAACCGTGAGCTGGGGGAAATGATCAGGGGCTGGGGGAACAAACAGGGGCTTCCCCCCAGTTCCCAGTTTGCTACCTCAGCTCCCCAATCTTTCCCCCCAACTCCTGCGGCCTCTCCCAGGGCTGCCAGTCTTTCCTGCCTCGCCGTGGAGCAGGTAGATGAGCCGTGGCTTGAGCCAGCAGCCGCGGGGGCTGGGGGAAAGATTGGGGAGCTGGGGGGAATGATCGGGGGCTGAGGGAATGAACAGAGGCTTCCCCTCAACTCCTGGTTTGATCCCCCAGCTCCCCAATCATTCCCCCAACTCCCCAGTTATTCCCCTCATCCCCCATAGCTTCTCTTGGGGCTGCCAGTGATGCCTGCCTTGCCCTGGCAAAGAGGCAGCCGGGGGAGCAGCCGGACTAGCCATTAATTCTCCCGGGGCTGCCGGCTCAAGCGAGGGCTCGTCCGGCTGCTCCCCCAGCTGCTCCTGCCTGCACTGCCTGCCTTTATAGTCTATGGCCGATTAAGATTCAGCACCAAATATAGATTGAATCTGGACAATGATTTAAATCACCAAATCGAATCGCTGCCCCACCAAATAGCCAAATCTGAAGTAAATACTTTCCGCTTCGCACAGGCCTAATGGGCACTGCCACTGAAAAATCACCAATGATGCAAGGCAGCTCAACTAACCTAGGAAGGTTACAGCATCTAAGGTGCCCCAACAGTCACAGCAACCTCAGGACTGACTTGATTTGACTAACCCATTGAGGGATATAGGGGTCATAAAAGCTAATCCAGGTAATGGGATAAGAATCCATAGTCTTCTTAAACCATAGTTAATGCCATGCAGTCTGTGAGATCATGTCTTGTTCTGCAGTTCCCATTCCAGTTGTTTCTAATTTTTTGTCTAAAAACAGGTAATTTGCGGCCAGCAATAGAATGTCCAAGGAGGTTAAAGTGCTCTGCCAGAGGCTTGTCTGTCTTTCTGGTACAGATGTCAGATTAGTGTTAATTTATTCTTACATATAGGGATTGCGCCATCTGTCCATAGCAGGGGCACTGTAAGCAGGTGATGCCATATAGGATGTTGGTAGAGGAGTAGGTGAATGAACCTCCGGTGTTATAATGTATTGTTTGGTCCATTGATGATGTGGTACATGTTGATGAGGAGACACAGCTGGCATCTGGGTCCAGATTAAGGTCTTGTGCCTTGGTGAGAATAAGAGTTAGGTAGTCAGTTGCTAGAGAAGACATTATTTATAACTAGGGGGTTGTCTGCAAGCCAGAATGTCCTTCCATGGCTTTCTTGAGATGGTCATCATTTTCCAGAAGGAGTTGGAGGTCATTAATGATTTGGCTTTGGTGTTAATGCTGGGGGCTGTAGGTCACAAGGAAAAGGATTTTGTTGTTTTTATCTTAGGGTTGGTATTGTAGCAGGTTGGAGCAAGGTCTGAGTCTGTTGATTTGAGTGGCTATGGTTTTAGAATTGTATTAAACGTACAGGAGTTCCTGCTGCAGATCTTTAATGTGTGCATCCTGATCTGTAGTATCAGACATAAAGTTGTGAAATAGAGCTTGGCTGTTGACAGTGAATCTAGTGGTGTGCTTAAGGATGAGAACTGCTGGCGTAGAGCTAACTAGCAGTTTGATTGGTTTCCGATATAGTGTGATGGTGATATGGCCATTGCAGACTTTCACAGTGGGACTGAGAAAGCTTACTAGATGTTTTGGGTAGGATTCTGGACACCTGGTCTAGTTGCTTGAAACTAAAAAAATACATTAGTCCACATTAAATGTATAGAAATCTGTATGTGGGTGAAAATTTGTCTTTTCCTTCTTCCCTAGGACTTTTTCCAATCACTTTCATTTTTCTTCAGCCCTCTCTACCTACCGTGTGATTTTTTTTCATCCAAGTACTGTGACTGCTTCTTTAGCTCCCAAGGTCCTTTCCTCTATCCCAAGATATTTGGATACCAAGGAAGCATTTACAGAATCTGATGAATCTTGAGTGGTTTTGTTAAAACTTATACATAGTAACAAAATAGCCGGTTTGTAAAGATCATTTTTATAACTAAATGCTCTGTATATGATGTGTCTACCAATACAGAAAATAGGGTGAAAGTTACTATTCTATTTGTTTTGAACTAGGGCCATGCACAGTTAGTTCGAGATGTTGATGTAGAGAAGGTGTCAACATTTGAGAATCCCTACGTAGATGCAATAAAGAGTTTATGGAATGACCCTGGAATCCAAGAGTGTTATGATAGACGACGGGAGTATCAGCTATCAGACTCAACTAAATAGTAAGTATATGGTGGGCATGGGTATCTCTGCACTTGCCTTCCTTTCCTTTCCTTCTAACTTAAATTCATTTAGTTTAGAATGACTTAGATACAGTATAAATGTGTATGAATATATGCAAGTCTAACACTGTAGGACTGGGATGTCTGACTTGGTTCCAGTAGTGTAACAAAGTGTTTTCACAACTCACTTCTGTTATAATTAAAAATACTGTGATGAGACTATTCCATTGAAATCTTTGGAAGTTGTATTATTTTTATTTAGTGTATTCATCCCCTTAAACACTTGTGAAAAGTCAGCATGTAACATACAGTTCTCAAACCTTAGTAAAAAAAGAGGACCTGCTTTAGATGTCCCTGTTAGGCCAAAAGTGCATGCAGAGGTGCAGTGGAAGCCAAGGTTTGAAATTTAGGACTTGAATTTTAATAGAGTTGATAAGAAGAGTCTTCCTTCACTTTGATTTCCATCTTCCTGGCTGTTCTGTTGCCTTCCTCAGCATAACAGATTTTTTTTCCCCCAAAGACATGACGAGGAAAGAGGGATATAAACTAGTACAGTGCATTTGGATATATAATATTTGTTACACTAACAAAAGGGAGACCAATTACTAAAAAGTGTTTGATGGCTAGTAGTGGGGTTAGCGTGTTGTAGTCATATTAGTTCAGGAAATGTCTAAGAGACATGGATTTTTTGTGGTATCTTTTATTGGGCCAGCTGTATAGAACCTTTTCCATTGGTGAGTCCTTTGTCATGCCAGAACACATGGTATTCTATCCCATTTGCCAGTGAACTGAAAAAATTATATATTGTTTAAACTAGGAAAACCCTAAATAAAATTTTGTGCGTTGTTCTCAAGATATAATTGCTGGGGAAAGTGCGCTTTTGGACTTCCACTATTGAGTATACTTGTATGTGCTGTTGCAGTACTGAGGTGCAGAGCCAGGTGAGGTAGACAAATTACACCCTTAACTTTGAACTTCTTTGACTTGTGGTTCTAAGTTAAACTCCATAACTACCTTTAACACTTTTAAAAGATGAATTGCTTTCCTTTTTTCAATGATAGCATAAAAAATAGAAATGGGAAATCTCATCATTATAAAGGGGAAGGAGGATCTGATATTACTTCAGATAAAGCTGGACTGACCCTCTTAACAAGCTTCTCTGTCGGCATCTACATGAGATGCTGACTGCACAGTAACCTGAGACTACTGCGCAATAGCGTCATGTGTCAGGAAGCATGATGTAACGCTACTGCGCCATAGTCTCTGTGCATTTGGCATCACAAGAAAACTTTGTTGGCGCTACTGCACAGTAACACGAGTTATTACTGTGCAGTCATTTAATACTTGTTTATACAACTACTAAAAGGCTGTGCAGTAACAACTGTGCAGTCAGCGTCTCATGTAGATGCAGCTTCTGTTTCTAAAAAAATAACTTGCCATGACAGCTCCTTAGAGTATTATTAACATAAAAAGTATGGAGTTTGTTATGAAGCCATAGCAGCAGCTTTCTGGTATGTTTCCTTAGAAAAGGCAATTACTTTGAATGCAAAATAGCTGATATTTAAAGTGTAAACATGTTGGCCTTTTTACAACATAAGTGTTTTTGTAAATTGGCTATTTATTTTTTAGAAGATGTTAGCACATATTATGGACTTTTCATGCTTCCAGGACTGTGTAGGCACTTTGCATTAGACGCTTGTTAGTTAAAATGCAAGAAATAAATTTTGACAACATAACCTAAAAACAAGGTTTCTCCCCTTCCTAGTGAGCACCCTCATCATAGGGCTACAGTCAGGCTGTTTACTTTCTGGTGTTGCTCTCTTGGCTGCCCAGAGCCCAGCTTCTTCAACAGGAGTAGAGATGCTCGTATACCATGCTAGTAAGGGCACTCTCCTGAGCAACTGGCTATGCTGGTTTAGGTGGGCCTGGCATCCAGATTTCCCACTATATTAAACAGGAGCAGGCAATTATTTTGGCCGGAGGGCCAGTTTTGGTGAGCTGTAGAGTTAGTCCTGGCCCTTGACAGTTGCCCCGCCCCCTGGTTGTCATATTGGGACTGAAAGTACCTCCCCCTCACCCCAGGCCTTTGCCGTCGGACGCCCCTCCCCTTGCCCCCTGGAAATACTCCTTTTGGGAGGGGAGGCTTGCCATCTTGGAACCAGAAAAAAAAACAAATCGTACATTAAAAGTCAAACACCTACTATAGCATATTTTAATTTTACTACAAAAAATATTTGTCATGATTTGTGTTTGCATATATATATAGAGGGGATTGCATAATAATTCAGAAATAAAGTCTTACTCTTGTATATTATGTGTGGGAAGTGTGAGATGTGGTTAGGGTGGTAGTATGTGTATGGTGAGGTGTGTATGGTGGGGTATGGGGAGGGGTGTGTATGGTGGGGGATGTGTATGATGAGGTGTGAGGACGTGTGTGTGTGGTAGGGTTTCGGGAGTATGAGTGGATGGTGGGATGTGGTGGTGTGTTTGTATGGGGGGTTATGAGGAGGTGTGTGTGGGGGAAGCATAGGGTATGTTGTGGGGTGTATATATGTTGGGGGTTGTGGGAGCTGGTTGTGGGGTGTGAGGTTTGTGGGGTGTGTGGAAGGGTGGGGGGTGTGTGGGGACCCCCAACCCACTCCCCCATATGGCACATAGCCCCTGCTGCCCCCGGGCAGGTGCTGGAGCCCTGTAGCATGTAGCTCTAGTCAGTATTGAACACTGTGCATGGGGTTGAGCAACACAGCCTGCCCAGCCCTCCTCTATTGCAGGGGCTCCACGTGGCGTGTGTGCAGCTCCCACAAGCTCCCACACTTGCATGGCACTGGGGGAAGTGCCGTGCTGGAGCCAACTGCCTTCCCTGCCACACAGGTCCCGGGACTCCGTGGAAAAGGGGGGAGCCGGGCTCCCTCCACTGCCAGCAGAGTCCCAAGACCTGCGCAGCAGGGACGGTGAAGGCAGCCAGCTCCAGCATGGGGCTGGATAAAGGTGGGCTGAGCAGGCTGCACTCCTCACCCCCACACACAGAATTGGTTGGCCCCGGCCCTCCACTTCCCTACCTGAAGCCCAGAGCAAGCGGAATGCTAGCAAAGTCCCCCAGAGGTGGCTGCAGTAGCAGCAGCCTCACACAGAAGCTGCTGCTGCCTGGTCTGGGTCCTTAGGCCCATGAGGGTGGGAGCGAAGCATTATATGTTATGTTGGGGGATGTATATGTGGATATCTCGCTCCCACCCTCATGGGCAGAAGGGCTGGGCAGGGTACAATTTGTTGGTGGGTGTCTGCGGGCCAGATGAAAGTGCCTGGTGGGCTGGATCTGGCCCAGAGGCTGTATTTTGCCCTCCCCGATATAGAAGATACTACTCAATGCTATCAGTAGTAGGCATCTGTATCACAAAACAATAGAATTACATCAGATGACACATCAGCTTGCTGAATGTAATTCTTGCATAGGCATGTCAATAGGTCTGGGCCATGCTCAGTGGTCTCCTAATGGACTGGAGACCTAGGTAGACTGTTTAGGTGCTTTCCAGTTCTGGTCTGATTTTTTAACAGAACTGAGGTGGGAGCAAGGTAGTAGCTTGAACATGTGCAAAATCCTAAATCTAGGAGCCCCCATGGCTCACCAAAAGCATCCGGGAATGTCTTCTAGCTAAAAGGGAGGCGTACACCCAATGGAAGGGAAGGGCCATCACCAGGGAGGACTATACTGCGGTTGCTCGGGGATGCAGGGGCGCAATCAGGAAGGCAAGTCGGAGATGGAACTGGGACAAGCTACCCGGATCAAGGACAACAAGACATCCTTTTTTAAATACATAGGGGGCAAAATGAAGGTACCAGGTAACATGGGGCCCCTGCAAGACACGCTTGGAAATTTGGTCGTCACACCAGACAGCAAAGCTAACATATTTAACGACTTCTTTGCCTCCATTTTCCTGAGCTGGGACTGGATCAGCCCCCGTACTGGGCACCCTTCAGGCCCCAGGGGAGGAGCACCTAGGCCAAGGGTCAGTGAGGATCTAGTCAGGGAACTTCTGGAGGGACTGGGTGTATTTAAATCAGCTGGTCAGGACAATCTCCACCCCAGAGTGTTGAGGGAATTGGCTGAGGTCATTGCAGGACCCCTGGAATGGCTTTACGAGCACTTGTAGTGCTCTGGTGTGGTGCCAGAGGACTGGAAGAGGGCCAACGTGGTTCCCATCTTCAAAAAAGGGAGGAAGGAGGACCCAGGAAACTATAGGCCAGTTAGTCTTACCACGATCCTGGGTAAGCTTTTTGAGAGAATTTTTCTGGCACATGTCCACGAGGGGCCAGCAGGGGAGATTATGCTTAGGGGCAACCAACACGGGTTCATTAGAGGCAGGTCCTGTCAGACCAACCCGGTGGCCTACTACGACCAGGTCACCAAATCCTTAGATGTAGGGGTAGCAGTGGATTTAGTCTTTCTGGACTTTTGGAAGGCCTTCGACACCGTATCTCAACCCGTTCTCAGTCAAATGGGTTGCCAACTGGCCGGAGGGCAGCACCAAGAGAGTGGTAGTGGATGGGTCATTTTCGACCTGGAGGGATGTGGGCAGTGGGATTCCGCAGGACTCAGTCCTCAGGCCCGCACTGTTCAACATCTTCATCAGTGACTTGGGAGAGGGGGTAAAAAGCACCCTGTTCAAATTTGCTAATGACACTAAGATGTGGGGGGATGTGGGCATGCTAGAAGGAAAGAGTAGGCTGCAGTCAGACCTAGACAGGTTACAGGGGTGGGCAGATGAGAATAGGATGGGATTCAACACTGACAAGTGCAAGGTGATACACCTGGGGAGGAACAACCGGCACCATACTTACAGGCTGGGGAACTCCCTTCTCGTCAGTGCAGAGGCAGAAAAGGATCTTGGAGTCATCATTGATGCCAAGATGAACATGGGCCGGCAGCGTGGGGATGCAGTCAGGAAGGCCAACCACACCTTGTCATGCATCCACAGATGCATCTCAAGCAGGTCCAAGGATGT